TTGCTTCAGAAGTATTGCAAGTATTACATACAACAATAATAAAACCCAGCCAAATTAATGGAGAAGGGCCTTGTCTAGACTGGTAACCAAGAACCTGATGGTCACTCTAGTTGAACTCCATGATCATATATGCAGATGGGAGAAATGTGATTTCTGAATGAAAACACACTTGGAATTTGCAAAACGGCATCTAAAGGACCCTCAGACTCTGAGAAACAAGATTTTCTGGTCTGATGAACCTCAGTTCTACGCATCATGTTTGAAGGAAACCAGCTCTGCTCATCACCTGCAGAGTATCATCTCAAAAGTAAAGTGTGCTTGTAGCAACCTCATGCTGTGGGGGTGTTTTTCAGCGGCAGGGACTGGGAGACTGGTCAGGGTTGATGGAAAGCTGAATGGAGCAAAGTATAGAGATCCTCAATGAAAACCTATTCCACAGTGCTCGGGACCTCAGACTGGGCAGAAGGTTCACCTTCCAACATCCAATGACCCTAAGCGCACACAGCCAAGGCAACACAGGAGTGGCTTAGGGACAACTCTGTGAATGTCCTAGAGTGGCCCAGCCAGAGCCCTGACTTGAACCGTATCGAACATCTTTGGAGAGACCTGAAAATGGCTGTCCACCGATGGTCCCCATCCAATCTGACAGAGCTTGAGAGGATTTGCAATGAAGAATTTCAGAAAATCCCACAATTCAGGTGTGCAAACAAAGCTTGTTGCTTCATACCCAAAAATACTCGAGGCTGTAATTTCTGCTAAAGGAGCTTCAACTAAGTACGGAGTATAGTAGTTTAATACTACTTATGTCAATGTGATATTTCAGTTTTTTTTTTTCTTTTTTTTTTTTCTTTTTAATAAATTTACAGACACTTCGAAAATTCTGTTTTCACTGTGTCCTTATGAGGGACGGAGTGCAGATTAATGAGGAAAAAAGAGTTTGGTGTGGTTTGCTTTCACACCTTTTTGCAAGTGAACCAGAAATTCTAAATGTGTGCTAAGGTCATCCATTCTTTGGACAAAAATTCTCAAGCAGGGAAAAACAGGAAGTGCAAAAACAGGCTAATCATGGAGATCTTTCATAGTGCAATTTTTTTATTCTTATATGAAGAAATTTATGAGCATTATGTATGAGAGTGTCAGATGATACTGAAATTACGACTTGCCGAAAATAAAATCTATAGATATAAAATACTTCAAGCACATCACAATGTTCGTTTAAACATTTAACCTATATAAATGTGTGCTGTTAGGCGCATATCCAATCGTTTGTGCGGAGAGTGGAAGCTAAAGCGCGCTTCAGGACATCAGTGGAAACAAAATAAATACGCCGTCATTTATGCTTATAAAGGTAAGAATGATACATTGTTTCGGAACTGTAGAGGGTCTATTTTTATTTGTGTGCCCTCACAATATCAAAAACTTTGTGCTTTTGTAAAATAATAAAAAAAACAAATAGGATGCGCTTGCTGTCTCGGGTCTTGAACAGGAGCGCTTCACAAAAATGAACCAAAACTCAGCGAATATTTTCCTTACAGACATGATGAATATATCTATAAAAAGCTTTAAATGACTACAAAACGAAATAATTCAAATCCAAAACAAAAACTCTTATGTAATCCGTGAAGATGCATTTCTTTCTAAAGGCACGTCCAATGATGAGATGGCGAGTCAGGATCATCAACTTCATCTTTGTGACACTGACTCATAAAACACTAGTTTCTTAATAAATAATTCAAATATCTCCTTACTATTTTCCCCCAATATAGTCATGGTAATTTTTGCGGCAAGCTTTAGCCTATTTAACGCGCTCGCGTCACATTGCTGTGTGCCATGGTCACGAAAACTCAACATTTGCGTCTGTTTTTAAGCGTTGTGTTTTAAAAACAAGTGATTTAAGCCATTGAAGCACAAATAACAGCACTATGCGGGAGCTGTCTGTTTCTGAGCGTGATTTCTGCAGTTGGGTCGGATCGAGGTCGGGTCATATTCACACCTTAAACGAACCGTACCAGAGTTTGTTTGGAAGCGGACCAAGACCACCTCTACAGCAGGGTCTCGGCGCAGTTGTTTGGTCCGCACCCGAGTGCGATTGCTGTATTCACACCTGCCAAAAAGGTCCGCCTCACACCATTGGCTGAGAAGATATTTATCTGGTCATAATATGCAGATAAACTGAGCAATGTGACTAAACTTTTTTTTGAGAGAATCAACTTACAGATGTCTTTGTTTAGTTAGTTGTTTCTGCATATTAAACTGGGATGGGAGAAAATATTTTTACATTGTAAAAAATGACAAACTTTTCGTCACAATTATTATCCTACATATAATGTGTGAGGGGAAAAAGGAAAAATATGTTGGATATAAATTTGTTCAGTTTAATATTGGTTGTAAAGCCGATTTTTCCCATCTATATATTTTCTACTTTGTTCTCAGATGTAATTCAGGAGTTTTCACACTTTCTTAATGCCAGGGACCCCAAAATACTATGATACCTTTGAGAGGCCCCCCCCTTTCTAAAAAATAAAGACAGCTGTACATAAAGACCAATTTTTACTGTGTGTAAAAAAAAAACACACACACACACAATAAGCATGATGTTATTGACTTTTCACACCATTGGCTGAGAAGATATTTATCTGGTCATAATATGCAGATAAACTGAGCAATGTGACTAAATTTTTTTTTGAGAGAATCAACTTACAGATGTCTTTGTTTAGTTAGTTGTTTCTGCATATTAAACTGGGATGGGAGAAAATATTTTTACATTGTAAAAAATGACTAACTTTTCGTCACAATTATTATCCTACATATAATGTGTGAGGGGAAAAAGGAAAAATATGTTGGAAATAAGTTTGTTCAGTTTAATATTGGTTGTAAAGCCGATTTTTCCCATCTATATATTTTCTACTTTGTTCTCAGATGTAATTCAGGAGTTTTCACACTTTCTTAATGCCAGGGACCCCAAAATACTATGATACCTTTGAGAGCCCCCCCCCCTTTCTAAAAAATAAAGACAGCTGTACATAAAGACCAATTTTTACTGTGTGTAAAAAAAAAAACACACACACACACAATAAGCATGATGTTATTGACTTTGGCTTTGTTGGATTTTGTAAAATATGTAGTTGGTCTAAAGCCAAATCAAATTATTTAAATATTATTTAAATAGGAATTTTTATATATATTTTTTTACAATTTATTTTCACTTATTAACAGACAAAACACCGTAGTATAATAATACTGATTATTAAACCAAAATAATAATAAAATCCAATAACAACAACAACACCACCACCAACAACAATAATATTAAGCAAGACAGGTGTGAATACACCCTTAAACAATTGTAGAATCAGGCTGCAACATAACAAAATTGAAAAAAGCGAAGCGGGTCTGAATATTTTCTGAATGCACTGTATAATTTTAGTCGACAAAAAAAACAATGTGCAAAATTATAAAAATGTGTCAAACAGACCGAACTATAACCAAATCAAATGTATAAAAAATAAATCAACATATGACAATATTTCTTCATGCTTTCGAGACTGTTATTAATTTTCTGGGTTTTATAAACGGTTTAGGATATTGCATTACTTGTAGTGGGTTGTTACAGCAACGGTGTATGTTTTCTTTGATTCTTGCACCATCCGTCTTCAGGGGATCTGGATCTGGGAACAGTTCCATTTGCGGAGCAGAATGTCCATCGTGGATCGCTGCGGATCCGTGGGGTTCAGGAACTGGATTCTGGAGACTATACCTGTGTGGCCTCAAACATTGCCGGGTCTGCCTCTGCTGTGGTCATACTACAGGTGGGAGGTGAGAACAAGACCTCAGCTGCATTACAAGCTGACACAATATAAATATTACTGTGCATTTTATACGGAACAGTTTCATTTTATGTGGACTTTTATTTATTGAGCTTACTGTCGCAGTATTTCTATTGCTTTTCCAAAACTTTGAAGCATATGTAGTTCATAGCATTAATCAAAAACCTTGGACAGAGCTATCTTGATTTTAAGCAGAACACACCCATAAGCCCATGAGCTTCCAAACCGCAAGTGGAAATGTTCTTCCCGCTTTGTTGCAGAGTGTGAAATTTGGAGAGCAAAATTTAGTTTTTGGGAATGTGTCTTTAACGGGACTTTTAACAGCTCCTGACAGGATTCTCAGACTCCCAGTAGCTCATGGCCAGTTTACGAGCATGCTTGAATGATTCAGAACTGGATTATAACATTATATAGAACTTACATTAAAAGTGATATGTGCCACTATCATCACTAAGCGTAATTACAGAAATAATGATTGTTATTTACTACGACTTATTAATGTTCTAGTTCCCAGAATGCTTCCTCTTTCTGCCATTGGTCAATCAAACAGGTGTTCTTGCATCCAAACTCACACCATTGGCTGAGAAGATATTTATCTGGTCATAATATGCAGATAAACTGAGCAATGTGACTAAACTTTTTTTTGAGAGAATCAACTTACAGATGTCTTTGTTTAGTTAGTTGTTTCTGCATATTAAACTGGGATGGGAGAAAATATTTTTACATTGTAAAAAATGACAAACTTTTCGTCACAATTATTATCCTACATATAATGTGTGAGGGGAAAAAGGAAAAATATGTTGGAAATAAGTTTGTTCAGTTTAATATTGGTTGTAAAGCCGATTTTTCCCATCTATATATTTTCTACTTTGTTCTCAGATGTAATTCAGGAGTTTTCACACTTTCTTAATGCCAGGGACCCCAAAATACTATGATACCTTTGAGAGGCCCCCCCCTTTCTAAAAAATAAAGACAGCTGTACATAAAGACCAATTTTTACTGTGTGTAAAAAAAAAAACACACACACACACAATAAGCATGATGTTATTGACTTTGGCTTTGTTGGATTTTGTAAAATATGTAGTTGGTCTAAAGCCAAATCAAATTATTTAAATATTATTTAAATAGGAATTTTTATATATTTTTTTTACAATTTATTTTCACTTATTAACAGACAAAACACCGTAATATAATAATACTGATTATTAAACCAAAATAATAATAAAATCCAATAACAACAACAACACCACCACCAACAACAATAATATTAATAATAATAATAATAGTGAGGAGAGGAAAAATAAAAATATTTAAATTGTAAAGAAGGAGAGTTGAAGATTGATTATTTCTTTTCTTTTTTTATTATTTATTATCTTTTATTTATTTATTTTTACACTTTTTGCAAACAAAGTGTTTTTTTTTGTTTTGTTTTTTTGCAGCTGCTCCTGTGTTCTCCGAGTCTCCGGTGGACATAACAGCCGGTGTGGGTGATAACATTACTCTACCATGCATCGCCCGTGGTTTCCCCACACCTTCTCTGACATGGAGACGCCAGGACGGACGTCCCATTTTTGGCAAGTCATCTGGCCATGTCGGTACCTCTCAACTGCCTTCCGGTGCCCTTCAGATCCAGAGTGAGTTTCTATATGTATCTTTGAATAGATGTTTAGGGAGGTTGTCTGCTAGCACAATCCCTCCCAGATACTAAACGCGAGGATCTAACGGACATGGTTCAACCACAAGAGGATAGTGAAGATGTTATTTTAGGTGTTGACATGCAGGGGAGGGTCTGAGACCAACTGCTGCGATAGAGGAAATAGAAGCAGTACAGCTGAGAGCTTCCTCTCTCAGAGAGTGGGCTGAGAGGAGGTCTCCTCACCCCAGGCCCGCTCAGGGGGTTGGGTGGAGTAAAAGTCAAACCGCAGGCCTCTAGAGCCAACACCGGAGCTTCTGGCAGGACAGGGAGCTACATATGGACAAAGTAGAGCTCTAAATGTTTATAGGCTATAATGTTTTTATTGGACAGCCTCTATAGTATTAGCATTGAACAGCTCATCTGGTGTTGTGGATAACCTGGTTACTAAAAGCATTCTGAGCGAATGGGTCTGTTCCTACCTTCCCTTTGAGAGAGAGAGAGTGTGTGTGTGTGTGTGTATAGGCCCACACTGCCAAAAATTTGGACTATTTTAAAAACTATGATTTATTTTTTTATGTTTTTGAAAGAAGTCTCTTATGCTCACCAGGGCTGCATTTATTAGATCAAAAACGCAGTAAAAACGGTAATATTGTAGAATATTATTACAATTTAAAATAACTGTTTTCTATTGAAATATTTTTTCAGTAATGCCAAGCTGAATTTTCAACAGCCTTCAATCAGCAATCTTCAGTGTCACATGATCCTTCAGAAAACATTCTTCTAATATGTGATTTGCTGCTGAAATATCAGTTTTTAATAATAATAATAATAATTATTATTATTATTATCAATGTTGTTTTTGCTGCTTAATAATTGTAAAAAGTGATTGATTTTTCAGGATTCTTTGATAAACAGCATTTATTTGAAATATTTTATTTGTCATTTGTATTTTATTTGTAAGATTATATGTCTTTACTGTCACTTTTGATCATTTTAATGCATCCTTGCTGCATAACAATATTCATTAAAAATAATAATAAATAAATGAATCATACTGACCCCATACTTTTGAATGGTAGTGTATCACAGTTTTTCCATAAATATTAAGCAGCACAATTGCTTTCAACGTTGATAATAAGAAATGTTTCTTGAGCAGCAAATCAGCATATTAGAATGATTTCTGAAGGATCAGGAGACACTGAAGACTGGAGTAACGATGCTGAAAATTCTGCTTTGTCGTCACAGTAATAAATTGCATTTTAAAATATATTAAAATAGAAAACAGTTATTTAAAATTAATAAATTTTTACAATGTTACCATTTCTATTGTATTTTTGATCAAATAAATGCAGCCTTGGGGAGCATAAGAGACTTTCAAAAACAGCAAAAAGTCTTAATCATTCCAAACTTTAGGCCAGCAGTGTATCATAGCACTGCATGTACATATAACACTCCATACTTGTGCACAAATGTATTGTGCAAATGTGACACTAATTTATACTATTTAAATCTATTTCAACAGCTACTAATGTGATTGCAAATGACTATTGAATGAATTTCACACATGCAGACCGTTGCACAACATTCATAACAGCTTCATTGTTTTAAATCAGATGAACAGTTGCATATAAAGTAGTGAGTGTATAATGCTCTCAAACAAGAATGGATAGCCAGTAATGAAGTCAGAACTGTCATCACAATGGAATTAATAGCTGGGCTGTAAATACAAGAAAATCAGCATTGCTATAAATTCTCTTTTTCTTCCAAAAGCGCCAACAGCGCCAAGAACCGAATGCGTTTTTAACAAATGTAAAGCTTTAATGGTTAATTATTTAGATCTGTAACAAACGTACAGATGTGTGTCATTAAAAAGCATTCATCATAAAATATGGCTTTAGATCCAAGAGATCATCTGTAGCATCTTTTTTTAAAAAATTTTTATCAATGCATGAGGTAGAAAACTGTGGAGAAACAGGTTCATAAATTGGGAATGCACTGATATTAAAAACTAATGCCCAAACAATAAGGTCATAATTATTTTCAGGTGATTTCAAATGCTAAAGATTACAGTTAAGTGTTAGTGTTATTGAGCTGTTAAATGTAATAATAACTGAATATCACCGCTACATGTAATCTTCAGAAAGTCTCAGTTCCTCTTCAGGAACTCGAGCTGCGTCGACAAACGCTAGGGGAACGCCTTCCGCGATCCACGCTCTGAATCGTATGTGAAATCAGTCCAATAGCTGAACGGGACGTCACGGCGGATGACGTCATGACCAGGAAGCTATAAAAGCACGTGCGGCGGAGCCCGCGTCAGCTTTCTGTCATTCAGCGAAGCGCTCTGTGTGTGTCAGTCATATTTATTGTTGTCTGTCTATTTTTTGGTAAAATACTTATAAGCAGCTATGTCTAAAGCCCACGCTAAGACAAAGCATGCAAAGGGGTGCAAGCCACGTTATAGGTTGTGTGTTCCTCCCTGCCCACGTTATATCACGAGTGGGGATACACACAGCCTGTGCGTGGTTTGTTTGGGAGCAAAGCACGCAGAGTCGGCTCTTGAGGGGGCCGGCTGCCCGCATTGCGAGCGCCTCCCACTGCGTACGCTTCGCTCCCGGAGGGCTCTCTTTGAGGAGGGAGCCTTCACCAGCGTTCCTCACGGTGCTGGCCCCGCTTCCGTCGAGTCGGAGCGGCGGTTGCATTCGTGGAGTTCGCAGTTGGATCTGGCGGAGGGAATGGAGACGGGCGAGTCCCTATCTCCTTCCTCACCCACCGGATCCAGTGCCCGATCTCTGGGTTCGGAAGCCCGTTCTGCGGCTACTTCCTCCCGGGGTGGCGGCTCGACACTTCTCCTGTCTTCCTCCGAGGAGGTTGACGTGGAGGGCGTCGAAGAGGTTTCGCCCCCTCAATCGCCCCAGTATGAGGAGCTAGTGGAGGTGCTTACTCGTGCCGCGGCCAAGTTAAGAATCGATTGGCCCGCCGAGAAGCAGGCCGAGCCGCAGCGAAGTAAGCTTGATGAACGCTT